GTTTCAAAACAGGTGGGGTTTTTTTTCAGCAAAATGAAGGTTTTTAAAATGGGAATTTCATGCAGTTTCCTAAAATGGCTCTGCTTAGCCATTAATGTAATTTATATTTAGCACAAGACCACAAACAGACAGATTGCTGGACTAGACTGTTTCAGGGAAGAGCAAACCACTCTGCCTCTTTACTCACAGTGTTGCTAAAATAAAGAGCATGGCCGTAACATGGGAAATGAACACAAAATAGAAAAATATGACATTTCAAAAATGCTGGTTGAACAAATTGCATTGGAAAACTGAGAAGAGATCCGACCCACCCCTAGGTAAAGCAATCAGTAGAACATCCTTAGCTAAGCTCAAGAGTAACAGAGTAGGATAAACTGCACACTCAAATAGATCATTTTGACATTAACAGTCCACCTACCCAAAACAAGTGTTCACAAAAAAACCCTATCTGCACACAGCAACACACAAGATAGCCTCTTCTCTTTATCCATCCCCTTGCTGAAAATCCACCACTGTCCCTTCTGCTCCAGTAAAAAGCTGGCAGGAGGCACCTTCTTGCTGCTTTTCTGGACTGAACACAGGCCATTACCTTCAATGTAATCTAATTTCACCAATTGGGGGGCTGTTTATGCCTCTCAAAGTCATTCTCGACAGTGTGATGTATTTTGCGTCATGCTACTATGGCCAGAACACTGAATAAAAAGCAGAAGTTTTTATTGGAAGATTCAAGCACATCTGGACAGCAACCTCACAGTAGTTTCTGCAGAACACTTCTTATCCTGACATCAAACTCTGGTCATTCATACCGAAACCATACCAAACAGAAGAAAACACTAGTTTTGACTCTCTCAACCAAGACACAAGGGGATAAAGAGATAATGAAAATTAAGCATCTGCCTCACTGATATCCTTTCAGTCTCCTCACTCTCTTCTATCAGTTTGGCAAAGGGAAACATACAAATACTTCAAGTTCATATTCAATGGCATCAGTTCCAAAATACACCCCTAAAGTAATGGCCTTGGACCAAGCTCCCCGTGGTGCGGTACTTGGTCATGGAAAGAGAACTTTGCCTTCAACTGGTACAAAGCCATTCAATAGTGCAAGTTTGCCAAGTAGCTCAGTGCTCCTAAACTTATGAAGCTTCATACAATCATTTATTTTTACAATAATCTTTAACTGGGGATAAGGTCTTTATTCATGCGTATCATTAAGCATTTACTGTCTCAGCATTCCAACATTTTTGTAAAAGTGAAAGCCATTGGAATACATTATTAATTTTGAAGGCATTCATTAGAAACACTCACTGACCTCAAAAGCATCTCTGAAACAGAAGAATCCTGAACAATGAGCAGAATTTGCAGTATCTGATGTGACCAAGCTACATAAGTTGACAGAAAAACCCCAAAGCGTCCTGTATTCAAAACTGAAACTATGTTAAAAATATAACAGAATGCAGTTCAACTCAGAGCCACTTAAAAACTTCAGTGAAAATTCCTAAATCCACTCACACCCTATTTACATTAGAGGAGTGCTGTAATTGCACAAAACCATGATCAGTTCTGGAAATTCAAGCGCAACCTACCAACCACTACTGATTCTGCCCTCAGATGCAAAGAATATGTTCATTAAAATAAAGATCTGTTGTGCTAATGAAGTCACCAACGGAAGGGATACTATGTGATGAAAGGAAAGCAAACAAACCTGACAGCACTCTCAGGGTTGTTTTTTTTTTTTGTTGTTTTTTTAGGATACTTAAAAATGAAAATTAGTATAGCGATTATTCCTGAATTGTTACGGCAATTGCTATTCCCCCCCCTTCAAAGTATTACCATTTTAATATCCAACCGCCATATACCAGCCATTTTAACTGTTTTTGACAACCTTTGCCGATCACTCCTAGGCAAGGATATACCACTTTGTTTTAAAAGTCTACGGAGAGACTTAGAACAGGGAATCTTTTCTACACAGAAAGCTGTATAAATAAAGAACTGAATCTGATCATTTTCATATGCTGCCAGGCTTTGGATGGATAAATGTTTCCAAAGAGCTGGCGCCTCTGTTTTGGGTAGGAGTGGGTGGAATATTGCAGGATTCCCCTTCCCTCCCCCACTGAAGCAGAATCTGGTCTCTATTAAAGGCATTTTAGCTGTAGTTCTACTGTCTGAAATATCCTGATTTTATACACTGTTGCAATTCCTAAAACAATCATTAACACTGATGAGATCCTGTTCCAGGTCTGGCAATTCTGAGTTTTACTGTCCATGCCAAGCTTAGCAGGAAAGAAAAAAATTTAAGTTTTAGTAATGATGAAAGGTGTATAGATATTGTATTAAAAAGATTATGCTGAGGGGATCTTCATCTGTGTGTAGTGTAACATACACAAAAATTCACTGAGCACACTTAGAACTCACCTTTTCTAGCTGCCCTATAAAAACCTTCAAGTACCATCTCTGTAGTGCAACCAAAGATATTATTTGACCTACTGAAATCACACAAACAGTACACAATACAGCTTGGACTCATGTTTTTATAGCTGTCAGCAGCGCAATCATCAGAAGGGTACAACTGACAAACCATATTTCCAAGCTGACCAAGCGTGTGAGCACTGGAAAATTCAACACAGGCCATAAATATAACAAACATGGGAATGCACATTTATGCATTACTTTCTATTGAGAATTCTATATGATGACCATGAGCACATTATGTAAGTGCTCATTGATTAAAATTCATTTGATTCTGCCCGAATGCTGCATTAGAATACAACTGAAGTGAAAGTCAGGGAAACAACGGTTTGGAATCCTGATTCCTCCTTAGGAATGCACTGTAAGTCTCTCTTTTCCCCACCCCGCCCCAAAAGATCCCGATTTTTATGCCTTCCTAAGATCCAGAGTGCTAAAGCTCATCTGTAAACATTCCAGATACGTGGCCAGGACATCTTCCCCCAAACACACAAATGAAAACTGAAATGTAAAAACCAATTATAGAACTACAAGTAATTGAGGCAAACATCTCTTGGTTATACACATTAAACATGCACAGTAAAATAAAAAATAAAGTATGCATAACAAAACATATTGCAATTATAAAAACCTGTATTTGATATCACAGAAGTTTGAAGTACCTTTGAAAATGTTTTTCATTCTGCTTGAACATATTTCAAGTCAGTAATTTTTCCTTTTCTTCCTTTCTGTAGGTGATCTATGCCAGTGCTTTAGAGCTGGGACAGTGACTATCTTGTTTTAAGAGAAAATGGGTACTAGCAGCTAATAAGGACATAATTTAATAAAAACTGCCTGCTGTCTTATTAAAAGCAAGAGTCTTTACAGAAGTTATTTAATGCAGCTCCTGCAGCTGGCCAGGGATGTTGCCTTTTGTGTCTCAGTGTCACAAGTTTTGATGTCTATCATGAAACCCCAGATGCTCGATATTACCTCAATCTCACTGTTAATTGAAAGAGCTTTTGCGCATCCTAGCTGCAAATAAGTGTTTTCTACACTTAGAGGAAAGAATGAGTCTCACAGAACTCCAGAAGTTGTTTCAGGAAGCCTCATTCTTTTTTAACCTTCAGCATTCAGTAAGCACACGGCTGCTTCTCTGTTGTAACAGGAGTGGGGAAGAAGGGCACAGTAAAGGAAAATAAATCAAGAAAAGCTTGAAGTAAATTGAGGTCAAGGACATAAGGCCAGGCTTAAAGTTCCTACTGTGTTGTTAAAATTAAGGCAGGCTGCCACAGATCTTCACAAACAGCTTTAAGTTAATTCTGCCTTCCATTTAAACTGAATTTACAAGCAGGTTCCAGCTATGCTGTGACAGACAGAATGATTCAGGTAATCTAGCTGTTGCTCCAAGGATCCAGTGGCAGTGAAGCCTCCAAGGCAAGGATTTTACCTTTGCTACAGCTGACATCTGACCTGGCTACATCAGTGTTTGCAAGGAGATGCACATCAGCCATCCCTTCAAAGTGAGAGATATTATTCTCTGCATCTACCTTTTCCATCTCATTCTCAAGCTCAGTGTCTTCCATTTGTACTTGGAAGGGAAGAAAATCTGTCTCATCATCTCAATTATCAGTGAAGATGCCAGAGGAAAAGTAGCTTAGCAATAACAATAATCGAATTTTCTAAAAACCTGAGAAGCAGCAGATTGATCACATTTGATTACGGTAAAGTCAGGCTGTACTGATGAAGCAGGAAGTAGGAAACAGTTACTAAGGGAAAGAAATTCAAAGTGTTTCTGTTTTCTCCCTATTCTCTGCCTGACCTACAGCCTGCCTTAACGTGCCAACTCTCCTTACGTATTACTTGTCCTCTTACAGCTCTTGCCTTTCTGACATCTCAGAGCAGCTGGTTTCCATTCCCTTTTCTGGCTCCTCTTTTCTTGATCCCAGTAATTTCTGCTCTCGTCAAGAAAGAACAAGATTCAAGACTGTGGGGCCCTAAAGAAGCAAAGAACAACACAGAGGGAACTACACCAGTGAAATAGAGGAGTAAGACTCCCCGCCAGCAAGAAAAAGGTTGAGAGGAAAACAAAACTAGCCTGTACAAGAAAGCACACTGTGGCATCTGATTAAATTCACTGGTAGCACTTCCCACAACATGGGATAGCAAGCTACAAAGTTAGGTGCCCACAGCTCCCAAAGCCTTTCCTGTGTTCATGAGAAACGCATGGGGCAAAAGATCCCTCTCTCTGCTATGAAAGTATCCTTTGAGGGAGATATGGCAGCTCCGTGAACAAATGTAGCCTTACAGCTTAAGTACCCACAGAAAAGGCCATCTACAGAAAGCAAAAAAGGATAAAATCAGAGAAATCTTATCAAAACTTTGAAAACTTGAAATTCATTTTACAAGAGTTAAAAACAATGCATTTTGCATTTTCATATGACAACATCGAACAGCAAACAGCAAATACACAACATTGTACAAACAAATAAATGGAAACAATCTAAAGTTTTGGGAAAGTACTAACCAGTTACTGACAGCAGCTGTGAAACCCTCACCTCCATTTCCTCCCGATGAGACCTGTCTCTATCCTCGAATTCACGAGTTCTTCGCCGAGCTTCTTCAAAGGCTTGTTGTGCCAATGCATCCTCCTGCTACCAAACCAGATGAGACAGAGTGACAGAAAAGGCTACCCTCGTTTCTACCAGATCACATTTCTTCTGAATATTAGGGATCACTTGGCAGCAAAGACAAGTATGCCCTACAGAATCTGCTAGAACACAGATGAGTTCCAGCAAATGCCGATATCGGTTAATGAAATAACACTCACCTTCATCAATGCAGTAGATAACCAAAGCTGCAACACAGCTACTACTAAAATACATTTTCAAAGGAGAACTGCTTTTCAAAAGTAATTTTTAAAGGTGCTGTTTTTTTAAAAGCTAGGAATTCTCAAAAGTTATGAGAAAGAGGCAATACATTTTATTCTCCTTATAAAAGTAATTTTGAAGGCAGTATTCACAGGTATACCTAGACAGAGTTCACTAGCATCATTATATAAATAATGGTAATTTAATTCTCCGTCCTTTAACAAAAAGTATTATCTAAGTTACCAACCAAATAAATCCTCCATTTTATCAAAAGCTGCATCAGTATGAACATTCATAATCCTTGTGTATCATTATTTAAATTGAGATGCATAAGAAAGTGCAAAGCAGAAGTTACTCCTCCACTAATTCGTACACATTCACATACAATGCAGAAGAAACCTGCAGGTTTTCAACAGCCCCGTTGTTTATTTTATTTTCAACAGTGGCTTATGCACAGGAATAGATTTAATAAATTAATGCTTAAAAAAATCCTTTGAATCATACTTTGTGTTAGAAAAGGTTTTAAATCAAGTGTTATTAATATGGAAGCCATTACTAATCGGGTTACAAATTATTTCTCTTAAAGAGACCTTTTAGCACGTATTTTGCTCAGAATGAAAACAGATGCTCTGCTCCCCACCAGACTCTAAGACGTTCAGAATGGAAGAGTCAAGTCTAAAGAGGTTCCACAAAACAATAAGGGATAAACTGTATTGCTTCTCCCCCTCCCAACTCCTCAGCTATAACTACTACTAACTCTGCTTATGATTCCCACATACACACAAATGTTATCTCCAAGTCGATAGATTTAAAAAAAAAAAAAATTCCTAACCTTGACTGTTAGAGGACAAAAACATGTTGAGAACCCAACTAAATTTTAATATACCAAGGGATTAAGTGCATAAATTTTTTAATTTAAGATAAAGCATCTCTAGTCTGAGAGAATGTTAAATTGCTTCTTTTGCCATCGGCACAATCGTGCACCGTGAAGCTACTTTGTGAAATGATGTGAATGAGTGCCCCTCGTGGCCTAACACAGTTAAATACAAACATCTGCCAATCAATAACTCCACACAGACAGGTCCCCAGAAAGCTATGTTGAAAGGCAATGTTTAAAGCTGCCAATAAGATAACATTTTAACACTACCTACTATTCTTAAAAGTAGAATTTGGCCCTTTATAGCTATCTTAATGTTCATGCAATGCATAGCAACCAAGGTCAGACAGTAGAAAGTAAGTTTGTTCTTAATTATGCAGAAGGATAGAGATAAAACAGATAACCTTGTCTCCCAGATGACTAGAGAAAAGCTGCCTTATTTCTAATTTACAAAAGCTATGCATGTCTTTATTACCCTCTTTTTTTTAAACAGACTTAAATGAAAGCAGATTTAAAAAAAAAAATTTTTTTTGCATTTTACCATCATTTAAAGTGGTCATGAAATAAAAGGCTAAGATATAGCCTCAACCAGAATATTTTAAAGAAATGTTCGTAACCAAAAGAAACTAAATTAGAAATTCATAGAATAATCAGTATGTTGACATTCAGAATGAACACATGTCGACAGCTAGAACACTGGTTTACTGATGCCTGAGAAAGGGGAAAAAAGCACAAAACATTTTTTTTTTTTTAAAGTAAAAAATTCTGCTCTACTCCTGGTGATGTGTTGTAACAGAAATTAACAAACATCTCAGGATCTTATACAACAGGAATTTAACAAACTATTTTTACAAAAGTCACTCAAATCTAGTAATTATAGTCTAGCGAATTTGGCTGTATGAAACCCAATCATTTATCCATCTTAGTTTTAATCAATAAAAATGCTCCTGGTATAAATCCACGAAGAAAAAGCAGCAGCAAAACACGAGCCAGATCAACATGAGAACAGAACAAACCCCTCCCCAACCCAGAAAAACAAAAAAGAAGAGAGAAGCTTAAACACACCACCACTCATACACATACACTGCCCCCCCAGCAGCCTAGGAGAAGACTTTGTGAGAACAACCACCACTTGTAACTACCAAACCTATGCAGCAAGAATGCTCTATTACAGAAGAGGTACAAAGTACTGAAGGCAGAAACAGTCTTTCAATGACACTCAAGACAAATATCAAATCCAGGGGAATTTCAGCCCCAAATGGGGAAGATATTCAAGCACCTATGTAGAGGTTTGTGTGTGTTAGTCCACTAAAGTCTGAACAAGCAGCTGAATCAGGGCCTCCAGTAATAAAAAGTAAGACTGCTTAGTAGTAAGACATTAACAGGCTGTGAATTCCATAGAAAGAATGCTAGTTTAAAAGTTACAATTAAAGTACTTTGTTGTTACGCATGTGGGTTTTCTTCCCAAAATATTTTTTGACCTGGTGAAGGATAGTATAATTTCCAAAGTGTGGCAGCAATAAAAAATTTTATCCGATCCCAGTATTAGTAAGAAGTGGTAAGAGACAGGAAAATGCAAGAGCATTACATTTGTATAAGGCAAGCCTTCCAGAAAATGGGAGTAAGGGGTGCATATGGTGGTGTGTGTGAATGCCAATAGGACCTCTTATTACAAAAGACAGTAGGTACCACAGGCACTACACTGCACAGTATGAGGCACTTAAACCTGTTCTGGCATCAGTGTAATTTTGCAATCAAAGTCCCAAAGTTTGGGATCAAAGTCCCAAAGTTTGGGATCAAAGTCCCAAAGTTTGGGATCAAAGTCCCAAAGTTTGGGATCAAAGTTAGGTCAATTGTCACCAGCAATATTAAAACAGTTTTTAAAAAGGAAGCAAAATGACAGATACAGGAAAAAGGGAACTGAAGAATGTAAAAGATTGCCCAAATGTTTACAATACTAACAAATACATACATGAAAGACACAATGCAACATCAAGGGTGCAGCTACTTCTCTGTGTCTGTATAGTGCCTTATGACATGGGTAACTGTAGGTACTGCTACTACTGCAGCAAATAAGATGACCAATGATCTCCTCATAATCGCTGAGAAGCACAAACTGAAAACAAATTACACACCTGCAGTTGAGTGCAAACGTATCTATGTAGATCCACAGTGTAATACCTGCAACTCAGCACCCTGTACTCAAAACTCAAGAAAGCACCAACACGGGAGAGCATGCATACGTTCCCTCACACACACACACAAAAAAAAAAAAAAAAAAAAAAATCACATGCTCAGTGCATAAACACTTTCTGAAGACAGCAAAAAGGAATTCTTAAGTGTGGTTAAGACACATCGGGAAGCTAAAATAATCCAAGAGCATGCAAAAACATTTATCAGGAAATTAAAAAGAGAAAAATTGAACCCACAGGTCACCTGAGAGGGGGTCACCCTCCATTTTTGGAAGGGTGCCCACTTTTTTCAGGAACTATCCAGTTTTGGAAAAGAGTGACACTATCCCATTCTGAGTGCAGGTTCAAATCAGCCTCCTCTCAGTTCAGACGTCATGGGACTTAGCGTTCTGTATCAAACTGAACTGTCATAGATGAAGAATCTTGGAATTTATCTTCCACAGTCCTCGGGGATCTACATTTGACCTTGCTTTGTAAGCCATTGCAGTCTAAAGACCTTCTAATCAATGGAGTCTACGCCAGTTACTCTCTTTCCAAAGAGCACGTTGCTGCAACAGGAACTTAGCTAGCTCAAATGCCGCACCCAGCTTCGGAAGGAGTGAATGCCATAGCAAACAGCAGCATTCAAGTAAAAGCTTGGTTCTGTGGCTTTTCTGGCAGATTAACAAAAGGTGGCAGGACTATTCTCAGAATAGCATACCCTCTCTTTCTAGGCATCCTGAAGAAAGCATGCAGTGCTGTGACTATTTCAAAGACACTGTTTTGACACAAAGTATTTCGATTTAACCCAGAACATAGTCACAATAACATGATCTTAATGTGCAAATGGGTCTCTTAAGTTAGGGAGAGGCAAGGCACCACAAAGCTTGCAACTATACATATCGCCATAGAAAGTTTTATTTGAATACTTCCAGCTCTTGAACAGAAACAAATTAATCAATATGCCCTTCAGTTCTGCATGCCTGGAATAGAGGAGTGCTCTTTGTATTTAGGTGGAATGAAAGGATTCCTACCTGTTAAGTAGTGACCAACGGTGGCTCTAGAACAACTAAAAGGGAAACTGCAAGGAAGTGAGGGCTGAGAACAAGAGGCACGCAGCGGGAATGGAAAATGCATCCTTATTTAACTCGGTTCCAGTGCACAACTGCCAGAAGCAATCCCCCAGAGGACTCTCTGCCCTGGGGCAGGGGGGCACAAAGTGGAAGTAAAGGTAATTTGGAAAAGCAAACAGTTTGCGTGAATAATAAGTTTTTGCAAAAATCACCCATATGTATAAAATACATGAGGCGTAACAAAGAAAGATGAAGGGAATCACCAGTGTCACACCAATCAGTTCAGTTATTAAGATGAGTGACTTGGTTTGGGTCCCTGAGTTTAAGAGAACAAAAGGAAGGAGATAAAGAAAGCTCCAATCTTACTGTGCTATCAAGATGAAAAAGACAGAGTTACCATTTAAGAGAGATTGAACAATGGTTCAAAGTGAATTACTCAAGTTTCCAGAAAAGTTAGGGGAAGTCATGATGGTCTTGGGTGAAAGAAGAAGTCTTCAGAGAGAAGTCAGGAGAAAATGTCTATATACAAGTACAGAGTAAATTAAGAATCATTTGCTGGAGTACCAATACAGAACTTGGGGATAAAAAAAAAAAGGCTGCAGGAAATTGCTCACCCTTCTTCTTTTCTCTGCATGCTTAACAAACCCTTGTATTCAGAAGCACTTTCGACCATGCCTTCATATAGTTCTTACACTTCTAAATTATCAAACTACAGAAATGAACTGCTGAGTTCACCATAAACTATAGATTGTAAGTCATAACTCTGGTAACTGATGTTACTCCATCCAATTTACTATCCACTGCAGAGACAGGTGATCTGCGTGGAAGCCTGCACAAACCCGGTGCTTTTAATATCAGCTGAGTATCTTTGTTACCAAGCTACATCTCAAAAGCAAAGGCCTGTATCGAGTCTGACTAAATTGAGGAACCCTACAGCTGTTTAAGTGAAACATAGGTGATATGCACTTAAATAGTCGTTTCCTCTGTGTTTACTCTGTTCTTGTGCATGTCCAAAGATGCAGCTGCTAGACAGTCACTCTGGTGGTAGAAAGCAGGTTTCTCAAAAGCTGCCATACTGTAACAGAGCAGAGAGTCTACCACTGTTAAGAGAACAAATGAAAAAACCCTATTCACACCCCCCATAGGTACTAAAACAAAAAGCTGCTTACAAAAACCGCCTTAAAATAAACAGCTAGAATAGACTTGCCAGTTAAATTGTTTCAAGCTACAGACACAGCTTTTCACATAGTTTAAGATTTACTACTCTGTAGCACAGTAATCATGCTAAGTCACCCACAAAGTTGTAAACTACAGATGATTCCTGCCCCTAATATTTTGATCTAATTAAAACACTAGTTTAGCTACAACCACATATTTCTGAACTTCTATACTGTAAATTTTCTTCAGAATTTGTAGTCGAAGTAAAGACAGAAAACAAGCAAATTAGAATGCGTGATCACTAGCTGGCTGCGTGTTTCCTTCCAGAAGGACAAACAAACGTCTAAGGCACAGCAGCCCTGGGCAGACCGTCTTACCTGAGCTCTCTCTTCATCAAATTCCAGGCAGCCCATACCATCCAGTCTCTGTAGATCTATCCAGCCCTTCCAGATTACACAGACACCATTGAGAATCATAGGTGCCTTCAAGTACACCTGAAATAAAAGCAAAACAGATGCTATGAATTTGAAAGCATTTACACATATGCCTGCACAATGAAAATACTGATGCAGGAAGCTTCTATACGTATTCTTAGAAGAACATCCAAACCAGCTGGTAACATGAGACTCCACTTAACAGCTTCTCCTGCCTCCTTTCCAAGAACTCGTTTTAATCAAGTGAGTGCTGTAAACTTTTGCCTACTGTACTGGATGGAATAAATTTAAGCTGTGTTCTCATTTTATAAACTGGCGTGCACCAGGATTTGGTTAGAACTCTGTTACTGCTTTCAGTTAAAGTAACTGTTTTTCTTGTCAGCTTACCTTCGTGTCACAAAGAAAGTGGCATGCTGCCAGACAGGGAGGATCCTTTACAGCACATTTAAAAGGTTAAACAAACACAGGCTTTCCTACCCCAAGAAGCACTGTGTTTTACCCCAAATACATGAGCTCTTTCAACAAAGAACAAGCACCAGTTTCAGTACTCCTCAAATTTACAAACTAATCAGAGTTTAGTAAAATACACTACATATACACCATGCTAAAAATAAGAAAGTCTTCCTGTGTCTATTCTAGCATTTGTGAAAGGCTTTGCAAAAGAAGCAACACCAGATGATCAAAACCCATCTACAGCATCAACATGCACAGTGCCTTGAGCTGCAGCAAGAAATAATGCATGAGCTTAAGGCCCTACATCTAGATAATGGTAGATGATACAGTGATTTAAAGCAGAAGTATTTCCCCTTCTAAAGACCAGAGATTAATCTCCCCGCAGGAAATTTAAAAAGAAGCAAATACAACACTAAGTGAGTTTGATGCCCTATATTTAATGACATCAACCTTAAAAAGAAAAAAAAAAAAAAAAGGAAGAATAATATAAATCAGAGATTAATCTCCCCGCAGGAAATTTAAAAAGAAGCAAATACAACACTAAGTGAGTTTGATGCCCTATATTTAATGACATCAACCTTAAAAAGAAAAAAAAAAAAAAAAGGCAGAATTATCTAAATTGCTAAGGAAAAAAAACCAACCTCCAGTAGTTTTTTCAGCCTACTTGGCAAGTCAAACCCCTCATGGAACAGAAGTTTGTCTATGCTGCATTGCCAGAGAGGCAAACCAGCATACGGGCCAGCACTCGCTTCAGATTGAAAGACTGCCTAGACATCAAAATCCTGTCAAGTCTTTTTGGTCTTCAGGAGTGGCCCAGCTAGGTAGGGGAATTTTCACACAGCACCTCCTCTAATAGCTCTATCTTCTGTCAAATCCTCACCAAAGTATAAGTGATGTTTAGCGCTACAGCGCATTTCAAACTGCCCGGACTGTGCCTCAGTCCCACACTTACCAGCTAAGGTCACCCAAGCAGAAAAAGGAAAGGCAAAGAGTTACAGAAGGAAGGTAAGCCTTCCTTATGCAAAGGCTGTCCTGGTAAAATTAAGTACTGAACAACATGAAAGGAAATCCATAAGTAGAAGAAAGGGAACAAATAACATGAAACCAAATGACGAACAAGTAATGTTATTTGCCAAAGAAAATACACATTTAATCTCTGAACTTGATTTTTACAATTTAGCACACTTCAGTATAAAGTGATATACTCCAGAAGTTTTAATTACTACAATATGCTGTAGCTCAATAACAAAGAAATAAAAGTTAGTTCAAGCATATCTTCTTTGATTCAGCTCTCCTACTGCAGGGTCTCCACTAAGGAGAGCACAGACTGGTTTTCTGTCCTTGTATTCACAGACTAGCTATGCAAGCCATCACACCTATGTCTTCCGTGATGACAGCACACTATGCAGGGTGCAGATCTACCAGCCAACAGCCTTTGCAAGCAGAGGCGTCGGAACCAGCATGAGTAAGATGTGGACTAGCAGGAAACCACCTCCCACAGCCCTCATTTCAAGATTAATCATTTCAAGCATACAAAATACAACATTACTCCCTTTCAGCACAGTCTTCACTCATTCATCTCACAAGAAATAAACGAAGTACGTACCATCAATTTAATAGATGCGTTTAATTAGTTTAAAAGTGAAAAACAGTTAAAGAGGCTATTAGAATCAAAAGTCATTCTATTCTAAGAAGAATGCAGAATAATTAAAAAGGAAAAAAAAAGCAGCATAACTTAACTATGGGTCTGTAAAGATGAAACAGTCTGTACTCTAATGCTCGTTACTTTTTGCAGAAGCAAACAAGCATTTTGCTCATCTTCATTTAGGGCTTACATTTCACCTGGCCTCCCCTATCCTTCCGGCCCACAACAAAAGCATGGGGGCATATGACAAATAGCTTTTCAAATTGTCCAGAATGAGAGTATTTTTTTGTTTGTTTCTTTGGCTAGGAATATTATGCTGCCACTAATTGCCTCATTTCAGCGGCTGTTCAATTGCCTTGGTCACTGCAGTTGCCAGTGCCTCATGTGCAACCTTCGTAGCTCAGTGCAAACAGCCTGCAGCTCCGAGGCAGCTGCCGGGGGCTCCGTACTTCAAATGCAACGCCTTACGCATCACCTGGAAGCCTGAGCAGTGCTGGAAGTTCTGTGAAAGTCTTCAGAAGTCAAAGGGGAAAAGGGAAACAAGTTGACAGGGCCGATGCGATTGCCGATGCCTACTATCTGCCCTAAGCACACTGACCAACAGCTGAGCTGCTGACAAAGCAGCTTGTGAACCACTGGCATGCAGCCTGACCTTTCCAGATAAAGTACTCTGCCCTTGCTCCTGAATCAGAGCCCTTAAAGCCTTACACCACGGGATTCAGTAGGTCTTCAAAACTCAGATAATGAACATTTTTCACCTCTGAAAGGATTAATTCCTTAGCAAGATATTTGAGTTTTGAAATGACTATACAATCATGCAAATTTAATATATTTCGTATTGAAACCACATGCGCTTGTGCAGGAACTTTTCTCTCATTAAAACACACAATAAAGCATACTGGTGCTTTTTCCTTTATTTCAGAGAAAGGAATTTAGACTCCTTTTCCCCCTCTCCTCTTTCTGGAGAATGGAAACCACCTAAGACCATAGCCAAAACCGTTTAACCACAGATTTCCTTCTTTTCAGATAAAGCCATGCTGGTTCCCTTTCAATTTCCGAACTTAACAGAATTATTAATAAATTACTGTTCGTCTATGAGCACATGATCTGTTATGGCACCTCAAAATCCAGCACAAAGTTGTCTTTTAAAAGCTTTCAGAATTCTCTATTCTGAAAGCTGCCTTAAGACAGTCACAGTAAGAGAGCAAAGGCAAAAGGCAAAAGACCCCAACTTCCCCCTTAATATTACTGAGCTATACAATTTGATTAAAAGTAGATAAAAGGATGTCTTTGTTAGAATAACTCTTTCAAGGTTTTGTTGCTAACCCCAGATTAACTGCATTTATATAATTTTATAAATCCTCCCCACATCTCCAGGTGCTTCTCATAATAATACCTGGAAGTCAGTCTTGTAAAACTCAGACACTTAGGTGAAAAGCACTAGAGAGCAGTAGGAAGAAGGAGGGGTTGGAAGTCAGGCAATTACCAATTTCATATTCAGTGGGTGAATTTAATGATACATAAAGAAACACCCTTATAGGGACATACAAGAGGAAAAGATACATTATACAGCTGTCTCCTTCCAGAGTACAGTCCATCCTATACACCAGACAAGGTATGGCTTTTCTGACAGTGACAGTAGACGGTTGTAGAACTAAGTTAAGCATTATTATCACATGTTGAAGGACAAGAACAAGTTCTCCCTCAGTTTGCACCTGCATTTTCCACACAGTGGCACAGCCAAAGCCAATTCGTTTGTTAGATTTTGAGACCAAGGTAAACTGTCACATACTGAAATGTGCAATTTTTACTAGCTTATACCAGGTGAATTTTCGTTCAGGTGGCTGTTCTACAAAAATTTCATTTCACCTCAAACTACACCTTCCATTTCAAACTCCTACTACAAATCAAAATAGCATTAGAATTTTTTAAGTGAGAAAAGTAGACATTACTTTTACATTGGAAACAGGCTTTTAGTGTTAGAACAAATATTCTGCCTGCTGACTGAACAACCAGCAAGAGCAAACACTCTTATCTCCTTGCAGATTATCTGGATGGAGGATGAACAGCACCATAAACACACGTGAACTTGACGAGGTGCTGCATGAATACGTTAGGCTCTGAGTTGTTGAGCTGTGTTTGTTCTTTCTCACTGTACCAGCTGGCTTGATCTCAAAAGACCTCTGTGCCACACCTTCAATATATAGTGTATCTCACCTTCCTTTTTGTACTCTTTCAACTAATCTGTTATTTCTTTTCATCTCTATTTAAATGAGCAACCCTCTCCTCCAACTCCCACTAACTGGGAGTTAGCTTTGTTATTAAAAATAGGCAGGGACTTAGCTCCTGTAACACCATTCGTTCATATTTTAAAAATCAAACTTGATTTGAATATAGTAAAGCAGATAGAGGACAATTCTCAATGACTTTAAAAAAAGCTGCTTTACTTGAGCACAAGACCCAAAACCTCAGTTTCACATCCTATTTTAGTCCTCTAGTAAATCCTTATCTCACAACAGCAGGGTATTTAACTGATGTGCTATAGATACACTATCTGCATGCTCCATCCACACATCCTGCAGTTACAGAAAATGTTCTTTCTCCCTAAAGCAACCAAGCCATTTCCTCCCCCAGAGATTGCACACAGTTCTCACCACCCACTGACTAATGAATCAGCACGCTGACAACGGCCACCGCCACCCTTGGGACCAACTTCAGCCCCCCCCCAGGAAACACCGGTCCCCAGTGAAGTGGTGCAGTCCCCTCCCTTCTGTTTTCATTTTCCCAGCACGCTGGAGCAAAACGCATTCTTTCAGAAGAGGCTCAGTTCTGACTCACCCTCTGCCTCATCACACACACATCTGCCCATTCATAACTGCGCACACAAGCTGCCTCTCTCTTGGCCGAGCCAAGTACGTACCTCCCAGTTTTGACCCCACCATCCCCTGAATCATACCCCACT